AAAAAAGTGAATATTCGTTCGTGGTGCGTAAACTAAAAGAAGAATGATAACAGTAATAAAACTGCAGAACCATAAGAAACAAAATGCCCCTATATATATATAAAAAAAATATGAGGCTTAGAAATGTATTACGCTATCGCACTTTTACTAACTGTGACTCAGATGCGGTGTTTACAGCTGTTACGTGATTCGCGATTATCAATATCGCATAATCATTCCGATTTTATCAATTTAATTTAGATGCAATTCAAGATTATTAATTGAAATAGTAATATTAGTTATACCATGCAAGTATACTGTCTCATGCAATTTTTAAAATCCGTTACTAATTGTTATTATACCAGTATAACGGGAACTCCGTTCATACTTTTTTTTAAGTATCACAATTCAATATATTATTTATATATAATATACTGTATATATTAGAAAAAATATAAACTTTTTATTTATTTATTTTTATTTGTTATCAAAAAAAAGAAAAATGGCTATTTATTTTGATAACCTTCAAAGAAATTAAAGAAACTATACTGATGTATCTATTATGGAAGACGGTATTGAAACTATATCTATTTTCTTGAGTAACCGATGGTAATCTATTTCTTTCTTTAGAATGTATAGAATTTAATTCTAATAAACTTTTTAGACTTACTTGGTTAATGTCGTATATGGAAATATTGAGGTATATTTTAATCATCTTAATCGTGTTAATTGTTTTAATCAGTTAATAGTTTTAATCGTTTTAATCAGTTAAATGGGTTTAATCTGTTTAATAGGTTTATTCTTTTTCAATAACCAATTTAATCATAATTCTCTTTATATAGAAAGTTAGGAAATATTATGATACTATTCTAACAAAGATTCATATTCCCGAAAAGTTGGTTAACGAACAAGGTAAAAAAAATGTCCCGTTACTGATCATAAATTTCATCTAAATATAGAGGATTGGATTTACTTTAGCAACATTAAGTCGTTCCTTTCAGTTTCTTTTACTGAGGCTTATAGTGTTACTTTGAAACCACTTCATGGAATGCTCGTCCAACCTAGAGCTCCGAACTATGTGCTTATCGTTATATATATTCTTATATAGGAATGACTATGTGGAGGACTATGTGGAGGTACGACTGTATTTAGATTTTCCACATTTATGTAAATTTGTTTTTGAGGGTTTCACAGATTATAGATTTTTAATCATGTTGTACCGATGTTCCTTAAATTTTAAATTTTTTTTACTTATAATTAATCACGTAGTCCCGGCCGAGTCACTTTTTAAAAAAGTTTAGTTTATCACGTGATCGATACGTAATTTTATTGGCGGTAAGTTTATCACGTGGCCGAGAACTTCTGGAGCGAAAATAAATTCTTTAATTACCCTCTCCTTTAAAAGTCAACCAATCAGATGTCACGATTTTATATATATAAAACTTTTTATTAATAAACAATAAACCCCGGGTCCCCGAGTCAATTTTAAATTTCAATGTTACGTGAACCGAAAAAGTGAATTTATGTGGCCTTAGGATCACGAGGATATACTAGATGCAGGTAATCAACAAGCTAGTTTCAAAATAATAGCGTAAGATGCTGCTACTTCAGATTCATCGTCTCAAGTTTAAACAATAGGCGATAGCTATATTATCTTATGTTTTACGCTATGTATCCCAGGTTTTATTTAAGCGGTAAGATATATTTCTAATGCGAATAATTTTTTGGACTAATTAATTAATTAATTATATTTTATTATTTATAGGTATAATTTCTTGGTAATAGTATTTCAAGAGATGTTAATGGTGCTTCTAATTAGTAACCAATCCTAGTGTGAATAGAAAATGTTTGTTCATGGGACACATTATATATATTAAATATTTAATATACGCACGTCCGATATTATAATTAGGATTACAAATTGTAGCTCAGAGTTATACGTTCCTAGATGTTAAAGAAACTAATTTTTCTTTAAAGAAAAATTTTCCTGACGGAATACAATATCAAGTAAAGTCTGATTTTTACATTTTGAAATTTATAATAACTAAAACTATCATTCAATAGATTTGTCTTTTTTCTCCGGTTATTGCAAAACAAATACTTTCAGGTATTTATTTGCTAGTTTCAGATAAAACTTTTCCTAATAAGGTCTTGACTGATTTAAGTATAGACTAGATTCGGATAAATAGCGACCAATCATTTAATTTCCTATTCAGTTTGATTACCCGACTTGCCCGACAGATGATTCTCCGATTGTCGGACCAACTTCCCGTCGGAAGGACGTCTATGACGTCTTATCGGAATTTTGTCCGACAAAGATAAAGTCAATAAACGGTTTCCATTTGAAATTTCCTTATAAGTACATACTTTTTATACTTTTTAAATAATGAATGAAAATTATATTTAGCAAATGTAGTGATCACACATTCAATTCTGCGTAACCTGAAGAATTTAATCCTAAGTATAAATACCTCTAGTTTAAATCTTATTAAAGTATTAAACTTCGTTCACAAAAAATTAGCTACCACTTCAAGTGCGCCAAATTTTTTACGTTCATTTTAAATATAAATGTAATAAATTATGGTACAGAAAAAAAATACGAAAGCTGCATTCTTAAAAACAAGAGTCGAAAGTAATTGTTAATTTCAGCTTAAATATAACACAGTTAGCATATAATAGATACTGTATTTTCTATTTCTAAATGATGCTGAATACGATAATGACATGATGACAAAAAAAAAAAAAAAAAAAAAAAAATATTTTTCTTGCACTATCTGTGGCTGACGTTATTAATTCAGGTACAAATATTCTGCTGTTTAATTCAACAATTATATTGGTTTATTTTGAGAGAAAAATATCGGTTAATGAAAATAGAATTATAATACGGAATTGACCGTTTTTTATTTAATAATAACTTCAATTATCATAATTGAATAAAGAACAATTTCAGCTGAGAATATGAAATTCATATGCTGCTGGTAAACAATACGTCGAAGTGAGCAAATAATAATTTTTCTGAAGAACGGGACAAATAAGACTAATATTAATATATATTAATATATATGATGTGTAGGACATCGTATCATACATACAGTATGCAGGAGTGTATGCAAGAGACAAAGACAAGGAAAGTATTCAAAAACAACCATTAATAATTCTGAATCATTTCGGTAATTGGTACCGATATTTTTAAATAACGCAATAAATATGATTGAGATAATGTCCTGCGTCTGGATGATCGAATCTCCACTTGTTTTTCTGAAAATATCCCGGATATTTATTATATCCGGATGTTTCACATTTCGATGCATAATACCGGACATATTCGGACATTTTTTTGGAATATATTTTCTATATAAAGAAATAGATAATAAAGTTCATTTGAATTTATTTTGGAAATTCGTGATTAAATAATACAATTTAATTCATCCATTGTCAAATATTCTATTATTATTAATATTGTTTTTTTTTTATTTTTTTATTTTTTTTTATTTTAATTTTTTTTAATGCATACTATTTAATAATTGTACAATGGTCGATATCATTGATAGAATGCTGTGTAATGTTACTTCCTAAAATATGCAAATGAAATTACTTATATGATTTCATTTAATGATATCTTAGAATCCAAGAATTTAAGATTTTTTGATTTTTTGATTCCTTTAATGATCATGAATGGAAAAAAAATTATGGTAGTATATTCCGTTCGGAAATGTAAAATGATCGTTTTATTTATTATTTAGTTACACGTGATCGTTACAAAAAAATTAATAAATGCATATTAACCTATCGTATTAAAGTATTGAAAGCCTAATTAAGAATGTTTTTTTTTATATCGATCTTTAAAACTATTAAATCGTAAAATTGCAACGAACGTAGATTGTAACTTACGATATGTGCTAACTACTAAATAACGAATATATAGTATAAACTTAATTATTATAATATAAAATATTACAAATACAGTAAAATAAAAATAATTATTAAGAAGAAAAAACATTTATATAAATTTTACACCCTACTTCTAAATATTCAATATATACAATAAATATTGTTGTATTAATTTTAAGCATTCAAACTTGTCCATTATTTCTTGGCCTTCTATCTCTTTTGCAATAGCAGACAGTTATTATCACTATAATAATAATAACAGCGGCACATCCTATTCCTAATCCTATTGGTATTTGATACTTAAGTTGAACACCTTTCATATTATTGTTATCATTTTCTTCGTTGCCAGTATCTCCTAAAACCCCAAATCCTGATGAGTTATTGTTAATTAAAATATTTAACAACAATAATAAAATTATTGAATATTTTGTAATAATTCTTTGTAAAGAATCGTTTAATAAATTTGTTGTTGTTATTAAAATCATGTTTTCTTTTTCAATCAAATAAATTAACTTGATGATTATTAAAATTAATAACGTTGTAATTGTGATAAAAATTATTTGAAGATTCAGTCGTGAAGAAACAGTAGAAACAGCTACGATATTAAAAAAAAAACCGGTTAATTTATAAAAAAACCATCGTAGTACAAAAAAAAATAATAATTGATCTACGTCATTTGATTATCATGCAGTTCGGAGTTTAAACTCCTTGAATTGCGTTAAATTAAACAGAAAAGAGTCTAATAATAAACAGGGATGGTATGGATAATATATATATATATATATATAATTATTGACGTTCGAAAGAACAAATTATTCATAATTTTGGATAGTTAATAAACATATATTAAACTTTATAAAATTATAAATAATAATGCAATAGTAGTACGAGGATATCCCCCTTAATATAATAATTATATGTATTTATATGTAAATATATTTAGATTTTATAATCTCCTTTTTTTAAAAAACATGTGTCACAATTTATAATTATATACTTCCAAAATTGATATCTTTGGCAAAAATGTTCTAACAGTAAGTTCTAGACATATAAAATCCTTATTTTTCTTTGTCGTACGTAATATTTATATTACAATACATATTATGACCTGACTTTTTTGACTTGCGATTTAATGATCAGCAGGCTGACAATGAAATTGGCAACGAATTTTCTTTTCAAGAAATTGGTTGAATATATCCATTTTTATTATAAAAAGTTTTTAATCTAACCAGTTTTAGATCATAAATTGTTCAACCTAATTTTTCATTTCTTATCAATTTTCTTGCATTTTTTTTTCCCTCATTTTTTTTGTGAGGAACTTGATTTTCGTCATAATTTTGGACTTTTATAATACAGAATTTTTGAACTTTATATACACTGGTAAACTTTTTTATCATTTAATAACTCTGTAAAATGTTTGCATTTTATTCTTATCTAATAATTTCGTTCTTTATTTAAACGTAAATAAAAATAGATTCAGTAATTTGAACAATATGTTGACAAACAAAGTAACGTAATTTAATTAATGATGACAATTCAAACGTCAGGGGCAAGAAAGCACTACTTGTAATTTCTATATTATTTACTACAGGAGTATTTGTAGTATATGGTTTTGACGATTTTTATAATATGAAAAATGTTCTTCAACTGCGCTATATGATTTTTCCATACAACCTCTTTTACAAAGTAAAATTATTCGTCATGATGTAAAGGGAAGATTAAGTAGTACTGTATGGCTCAATATAATTTAGAGTAAGGTTTCCTATAGACAATATAACATGTAAAGTAACTTAGTAAGTTATAATGTTGGCAGATTTCTCGCTATTTCTTCTTATTTTGTGTTCAAATCTTTTTACCGGGATGGTGATTTCTTTAGGGGTTTAATAATGATTAGTTTTTAAGGCTGTTAATATTGTATTTCTTGTAAGAATTTACGATTATTTTTGATTGGATTAAGGAAGACAACGATAAACCTTTGACTTTTTCGGTTAAACAGATCCGAATCTTGCATATCGTGTGATTCAAAGCACAAAATACTAAAATCGAGCACCAACTTTTCGTTTTATTTAACAATTTTAGGAATATTTAGTGACAAGAGAAGAAATTGAGTGTTGAAAACTAGAAGATGAAAAATGAAGACTCGTGAGTTATTTGGACGCTGATCTTGGGATTACCATAAGAACAATGATATGATCTTCAATGTAACAAATGTAACAAGAAATCGAAATTTTCCGATATATAACGGTTTATCATTGGATATGATAAATTGACTCTGGATTATTGTGAGACTGTAAGATCCAACCCATTTACCATCTATAGATAAATTCATTCGTTTATCAATGTCTGAGTGTTTCCAAATAATTTTGAAGGTGGTTGAAAATAATGTAAATAATGTAATATTACAATCTCTTTTCATAGTGAACCTACGTTAATTTGGGATTTGGTTTGTGATTTGTTGAATTTTGGCGATATGTATAGACTAAGCACATTTTCACGACTTGAACAAGGATGTTGCCGACGTGAGATATAAGTTAATGGTACTTGTGTAGGTAGATCCTAAAATTTTGTGAAATCAAATTCTAAATGTCACCCTTATTAATAATAAAATTTTCAAATTATCGTAATCATACTTATCTACTGGAGATAAATAATAATTTTATTTAATAGTGGAATTTTTTTTTTTATTATTTTTCATAAAAATTTTCTCACAAATATTTGTTTTTTCATTTCTACGACCTGGTTCAAAAAGTAATTTTGAGTATTAATGGATAATTAAGTGTCATATGTGGCCTTTGAAGGAGTGCAAACATATGCTTACAATATGTGAATGGTTTATCTTCATTACTGTATTTTGAGATGAGTAAATTTTAATTCTAAAGGACAATATAAGCAATATAGCATCGAAGCTTCAAAACTTTTTGAAGATGTAATGGAAGGATAATTTGACGTTGGAGTTTAAGCGTAAGTTTATATTGGTTCATCGGAGTATTTTTTCCAATTTAACTAATTTAACTGTAATTTCAATTTAACTGTATTTCGCATTTTCTTTTAGCTTGAAAGTGTAAGAAAAACGATAATCGATACATATTTATTGGAGCGGTTAACTATAAGTATGATCCGAAAACTTACGACATTAGCAACATACTCAGAGTGTTATATCTAATCCCGAATTGTTGGAAGAGATTTGACTTTAAAGGGTTCGATTGACTAAAGTTCTACTGAAAGAACAAAAAAAGACCATGGCAAGTTGCAAGTCAGGATTAGTGAACCAAGTCGTTATGTGATCTGTGCTGTTGAAGCAAAGAAAGATGAATCATTTGCTCAAGATGGGAGCGAACTTATTGGATAAATGAAGGCTCTACATAAAAGAGATAAGTATGGTCTTAAATCTTTAATTGGATGTTATTTCATCATAATTCTAATGTTTTTTTTTTTTTTAAACGGAAACCTATTAATGGAATGCTCATGGATGGATTGAGATGGATGTCCTATATTTAGATGGTGACATTTATTACGAAAATAAAATTAATCTCATATTGTGTGCATTACACTGTTGGATCCAGGGAAACTCCCACAGCAGGCAATCCATCTATAAGAATAAACAATTCAGATCATTCGCAACAATTCACTTCTGTATAAATGAGGATTATGAAAACTCAATAATTATGCCATTTCGAACCAGTGCTGCACCACAAATCCCGATGTAATGGATTTTAGACCAGAATTTGGAAAAGGAACTCCTGAATTACTAGCTTATAAATGTATGGATGCTAATCCTGATCAAAGACCAACGGCAATTGAATTATATGAAATAATTGATTTTTGGGATCAAAAGTAAAATTATCAAGAAAAAGAAAAATTTGGTTATAAAGGAAAAGAGATTAAATTTGTGTTTAAAGAAGCTGATAAAGAAATACAAAATATTTCAACTTCATATGAGATAAACCCTGATGCTATATATACTACTAGTAGGAGTATTTACATTTAGAAACTTGTCAAACCCTATTACTAATTCACCTATTATTGCTTCTTTATACTTAAATGATGAAGAAAATAACAAAGGTATTTTGTTTAAAGGCTTTTATTAGAATAATTAATCCCATTATTACTAATTTTGTTACATTCTTAATAGATTGTAAAGATTCTCAATTATTTAAACTTGTAAGTTTCTAGCTCGCTGCTATTATATTTATTATTAAATATTAATATTTACATTTAAATTGCAGGTGATGAAAATGACGATTGATTTGAAGTTCTAAATATCTCCGTTGATTTTCATCTACCTATAATTTCCTTTTTATCCGAGACAACATACATTTTCTGATATATATTTAGTACTATTATTTCTATTCTTTCATGTGGCTTTATAATTTATATAAATTATACTAATTTCCATAGTTTATTATCTAAATATGAACATTAATAAATGAATAAATTTATTTCTTAACTATTATGATCGGACAAACTCGTTCGTCTCACACGACCAAATAAAATAAAATTTTTTCCTTAAACATGAAACGGCCGATGATGAGAAATTATATAGGATTTGCCATTTCGGTAATTATGGTCTGAAAAAAAAAATATTATAAGCCTCAGTTCTGAATGGACTATAAATTCGACCGGAATTAATATTATTATTCTGTAGTTCCGCCCTAAATTAACCATACCGGATTAAAAATTACTTTTGGACGTTTTAATTATGAAAAAAATAAATAGATCAAACTATTTTAATTATCTATTTATAGTAAATATATTTTGAGAATGAAATTATTTTCTTTTTATTGAAATGACAAGATCGAATTATCAAAATAATTTTAATTATTTTTTTTTTTTTTTTTTTTTGTAAAATGATTAAAGTTACTCCATTCTTTTAGGATTAGTATTTGTATTATTTATAATTTTTTTTGAAAATTTTATTCTGTCTTTACAAAGTATTTAAGATTTTATCCACCGGTTAGACAAAAACTGACTCACACCAATAATTCTTTTAAGAATAATTGTCCGGAGCGTAGCGAAGGACATTCTCGATTTGACGATTTGATAGTTAACCCATGTAATATTCCTTCCTTCGCCTACGTCAACTTTATCCACCCCTGCATTTCCTTTTTTGATTATATACTTTTAATTGGTTGAAAAGACAATAGTCAAAAAAATGCCGACTGATTATTTTTTTTATTGTAAATTTGATCACAATGATGATACGATGTAAATTATTAGTACGGGAAATCAACATTTATTTTTAAAGGTCCGTCCGAGTATAGAAAAATTTTTTTTTGTACTAATTTGTATTATCTGATTTACTATATACTCCAACTGAATTTAATTAGTTCAAACGGCTTGATGCTAAATCAGAGTTAGTAAAGATGACTCATATATATATCAAACAAACTATTAGTCATGATTTGATAACAATATTCATTCACAATAGACTATAAATATTGTTGTCATTGTAGACTTATATCACGCGATAAGAAAATAGTATAAAAGAGGACACCTTCCTAACAAAAAAAGCCACTACCTAATAAAAAACTCTCCTAACAAAAAAAAATCTATTCCGAGATCTAAACTCTTTTAACAAAGAAAAAGATGACAGGACGGTCCATGAGAACAACAAAAGGCTTTTATGAACTCTCCTAACAAAAAAAGATAACGGGACGGTCCATACGAACAACAAAAGGCTTTTATGGATAATAACGCTGCCTCCGACCTAACTGGAATTTTTAAAGAGGTGGGTAAATAGTATTCTATCACCCACTGGCCATAATCCTTGACTGCACACCGCGAAAGCAACGTGCGAAGGTTTATGAGGGCTGACAGGACGGCTTTAAAGGGTTGCAAACAGATGACTGGGGCCCATCATACGAGAACCCACCCCAAGGTTATATCTTTGAAAGTGGAGCCTTGGTTAAGGTACCTGAATATAAGTCATCAGGTTCAAATTCACCGTCTTAAAGATATAGTAGTTGGTCTGCCAAGTGCTCTGGAGTCACTCTTGCAAAGGATCTGATGGCCATAATAGAGAATATAGATGGTGGTGAAGGATACCATATATATAGTCACTCCTGAAGTGTATGCTTATCCCTAAGGTAACTGGGTTATGGTGTATGGCTACTTGTCAAAATGGTCATTTTTTTGCAATACCATTTTGGTGTCCAATATTATGACCTGTCATAATGGAGGACATAGATAGTAGTGAAGGATACCGTATATATAGTCACTCCCTAAATGTATGCTTATCCCTAAGGTAGTTGGGTTATGGTGTACGACCACTTGTCAAAATGGTTACTGTTTACATACCATTTTGGTATTCACTATTATGGCCTGAAAGTGAATGAGCTAGAACTAACATAAGCTTTCAACATTAATTTATAGGTATCTGTGGAATGGCACGAGCGGAAAGAAATGCAACAAAGAAAATTCCACGTCAAGAAATTAAATCGGTTCTTATTGCTTCGAATCCTTTCGGTTTACATATTTCGTCCCAACTATAATTGCTGCGAAAATTGCGAAGATTTACATTCGTAAACTTCTTTCTTAATTTCTGTTTTTTTTAAGTATAAATTCTATTATAAATACCAAAAATAGAATAGTATAGTAGAAAATGTTTGTATTATATTACAAAAATTCATTTATTTTTGCGTAAAAATTTCAACGTTGTACAGAAAAAAATGTAAATACAATCATGAATTTATTCCATTTTAAACACTCAATTTATAACCCTCGGATAATTTAATATTTTAATTTTTAAACTTAAAATTATGAGTATTCCATAAAATTATTTACGGTATATCGTCATCTATGTTTTTTAACAAATAACAGATAAATCTTAAACTGTTTATAATAAAGTAATCAACTTTCAGTAGCTTTCTTTTTACTTTCTTCAAGTTTTGTTAGGCTTTTTAATCTTCACGTTTATACATTTCACAATTTTTTTTTTTGCTCTTATAGCAATAGATTTATTAAGAAAAACATAATTGTTTGAATTTTACTCAGACGTCATATAATAAAATACATTGTACATTAAAAAAAAGAATAATTCAAATTCTTTTATTATTAGCTTATTAGCTATTCAGGGTCAAAATTACATAATAGCGCTTGCACTAAAATCTGACATTAGTTTGGTTCATTCTACGCAGCAAACTCTGTATTGATGCATTGTTCTGAGGTCCTCGTATAACGTACTGTATTTCTATGAATGTATATATTTTTTTATGAATACTAATAAAGAGATACATGTTACTAACAAAGAAAAAGTACTGTACATCAAGTAACAAAATTATCATGCACAAGCGCAAAATTTAAAAGATAAAATTCACCATCACATGTTTTTAACATATAAAAAGCTTTAACAATAGGACCATGTCGAACATCCTACCCTTAAATATTGCTCATGGATTTCTCAATTAGAATTAACATAATATAAATAAATCATTTTAACATTTTAATAGAATAAATTTGATCAATTATAAACTGACACTGTAAAAGTATTCAATCATTTTGTACTTTTTGGATTGTTTAAATCAAATATCAAATTAATAAAATGGTCACTAAAACAAAACATAATTAAATTTCTTATATTTATCTTAGCTATAGCATAATTTATATGATTTGATCATTAATTTTGATTATTATAATTTTTATGCCATGGATATTTGCAATTTGGATTTGCACTCGTGTAATCAAGTCAAAATTGAGGTTACGTGATTATACTAATTGCTTTGTGTGCTTTTAGTAAAAATTACAGATATTTTTTTATCCTGTACTTTGACTTGAATTCTGATTAAAGTGCTCACTCTATTAACTCATGTCTCTTCATATACTAATTAAAAACAAAGCTTACAATTACTATGCAATGCACAATAGTCATATAAAATTTTACTTGTATATAAATGTTTCAGCTATATATATTCAATATAAAAAAAATATTATATCACATCAAAAGTTGTTATTGAAAATAGGATACGTCACTATTACCTATGCTGTGGCGCAGTAGACACGTGAAAATCTCGAAACTTGGAAAACGGTAACCGTTAAAGCCTGTCGCGTTTATTTATTCACGAAAAATAGCAAATTCAGTGTTACAAAAAAAAAGGAATATGATTGAAAGGATTTTAGAAAATCATTGTTTAAATTTGAATGTTAAAAATTTCTTCAACGTGCTACTCCTAAGAATGTTATTATGGAAAAGCTTTGCACAATAATTTAAATTATTTATTTAGTTATGTTTATATGAAATCAATTAATAAATTGATAAAGTGAACAAATCGATTTATGACTTATGTAATATTTGTTGCTGACTTAGCAAAGTCTTTAAAATAAAATCTTGTTGTCACCTGATCACCACGTTGCGGTGCAGCAACATTGATCAGGGAGGAAGGGAAACGAAAGGAAAGGGGAAAATGAAAGGGAAAGGAATAAGAAATAACAAATAATACTATCTATTATAATATTTTCTATTCTTAGTAAGTGTATATTTATCCCCACACACATGATACTTTATAGAATCCTTACTATAAAACGCCGCACCACAATACCTTAGGTTATTACAAAAATAACTCTTCCCATTTGAGACCCCAAAACTAGCCCTCCATTCTATATCTTCTATGGTCTGCTCGTATGTAGGTGGTAGTGCATCTGGTACACCCTCACTGTCATTATTCGCATTACCTATAATTAACAAATATTCATAAGTGTCTGCAGCCACTAGTATACATATGTCATCATTGAGAGTTCACCAAACCTATACAACTGGAGTGGCAAACTATCAACCTGACCATAACAGTTTACTATCCGGAAGACTTTCGGCTGTAACCTTGGATGCACCAAGCATGTCTCATGCGAGGCGTGAACCCTGCAGTGCGCACCTACTCATACGTCCATCCAGCAAACAGTTTACCATCCGGAAGACTTTTGGCTGTAACCTTGGATGCACCAAGCATGTCTCATGCGAGGCGTGAACCCTGCAGTGCGCACCTACTCATACGTTCATCCGGCAAACTAGTTAATTTATACGTACCACATAATGCCCTAAAGTTTTGATAAGCTAGACCTCTATTGTAAATAGCTATCAGATTATTCTGGGAATGTCCTTTAGACGATTTTTTATGTCGTGGCATTTGGGTGAAGTTGGATTTTTGTATAATAAAAATTTATTTCGTAAAATTTTTCGTATCATAAAAATTTATTTCATAAAATTTTTTCGTATTTTTCGTATTGAAAAAATTATTTGGATATTTAAGGCCTTTTTATATATTTTTTTGTTGTACAAACTTTTTATAAATAAACACACAAAAACGCGAAAAATAATCAGTTTTTCGCGTCTATTATATAAAATTAACTCAGATAGTCTAGTCTCCCAGTTTCCCACGGTTTACACATGAAACGCCGAAAAATCTTTAATACACATGAAAACGTGACTCATTATGATTATATTGATAAATTACAAACTATTTGAATTATCATGTGTGTTAAGTACAGCAAACTCCGATATAATGATATGCATATGAAGCAGAAGAGTATGTAAAAAGTATAATTAAGCTGTAAAACTTATAAAACTTATTAAAGGATTAATCTATAATTTATTGAAATATAGTTGATCATGATTAACTCGAGTCAAATATATATCATCAGAGAAAATTTTCCTACTTTTCCAAACCTGTACATTCGTGCTTCTCTCCATATAGTACTTAACTCTGTGTCTCTTATGATTACACTGAATTACCGTTTTCAAAACGATATCATTGATAGAACTTTGGTATCGATATTGACAAAAATAAATCAGTAAAAGAACTGAAAAAAGTCATCAAGCTTTATTTAGATGAGAACAATCTTTTACTTCAAAAAGCTGATATTTTCACTTCTCTAAATATTATCAAAATATGGAATTATCAAAGAATCGTATTCATATTCTCCTGTATACATCTGGTAAGACTTGGATGATATTTTTATATCGCTATTTATTTACTTATCCTTAATATATATGTTTTATTTTATAAAGTTTGAGGGAGAAATTGCACATAAATTAAGCGAAACTGAATCGGGAGATAAAAATTATTCAGGTTTTGTATTCAACATTCTCTTAGATATTCACAATATTTTTTATAATTTTTTATATGTTTTAACTTATCAGCGTACAAAACAGGGTTTGATTATAGGAGACAAATAGGAGATAAAGCATAAAGGCAAGGAACTATAATGCAGTGTTTAAAACCATCAACAATAAATTACATTTAGTTTATGTTGATCATGCGTGTATATCCTTTGCTGAGTTTATTCGAAAAGTGACAGATTATACAAAACCGGTACCTAAAGATGGTGCCGCAAATAGGCAATTGCGGAATAATTGCGATTTGCGACATTGCGGAACATTGCGGATTTTGAAGTCTACATATCCGCAATTCCGCAATCAGTAATTATCCGCAATTCCGCAATTTTTCCGCAATTCCGCAAATAATCCGCAATTCCGTAATTAATTGCGGAATTGCGGAAAATTGCGGAATTGCGGAAAAATTGCGGAAAAAAATATTTTTTTTTATAACTAACTATTTTTTTAAACTTACTAGTCTAAAAAATAAGTTCGTTATTAATAAAAATATTTAAAAAAAAATCATTTTTTCGTTAATATAATATTAAAAAAAAATGATTTATTTTTTTTAAAAAAAATTGGATCGGCCGGATTATATTACGGTTTATCAACACCGTTAAATTAACCGGCCGATATGGTTATTAAATTTATAAAAACAAAAAGAAAACGCTGGAACTATTAGTTCCGGCATATTTATATAGAAAAAACAAAAAGAAAACGCCGGAACAATTAGTTCTGGCATATTTATATAGGAAAAATAAAAAGAAAACGCCGGAACTATTAGTTCCGGCATATTTTATATAAAAAAAATAAAAAGAAAATGCCAGAACTAATAGTTCCGGCATATTATATATAAAAAATTAAAAAAATGCCGGAACTAATAGTTCCGGCATATTTTATATAAAAAAATTAAAAAAAATTAAAAAAAATGCCGGAACTAATAGTTCCGGCATATTTTATATAAAAAAATTAAAAAAATTAAAAAAAAATGCCAGAACTAATAGTTCCGGCACATTTTATTAAAAAAATTTAAAAAAAAATGTCGGAACTAATAGTTCC